TGAGGGTATGGAGGTCAGGGCCGTCCACGAGTTGAGGGTATGGAGGTCAGGGCCGTCTGGGAGAGTCACGCGTTTATTACATGTGAGTGACTGTATGTAATCTTATGAAGTTTAACGTCACTTGTTGTTTGTTATACTTAGGCTTCTGGTTTCTTGTATGTTGGTCAAGAGTGATAACATAACTTGTGTCTGTCTCTTGAGAGTTGTAATGTAATCCCAGAATTCTCCTTCACTGTTGTTTACCTCTCCTCTTCCCCCCATCCTTCCCCTCTCCCTCCTCATATTCCCTTCCCTCCTCATCTTTCCTGTTCTTTATCTTCCCCCTCTCCCTCCTCATCTTCCCTCTCCCTCTTCATCTTTCCTCTCCCTCTTCATCTTTCCTCTCCCTCTTCATCTTTCCTCTCCCTCTTCATCTTTCCTCTCCCTCCTCATCTTTTCTCTCTCTCCTCATCTTTCCTCTCCCTCCTCATCTTTTCTCTCTCTCCTCATCTTCCCTCTCCTCTCCTCCTCCACCCCATCTTCTCTCTCTCCCCCCTCATCTTCCCTCCCCTCTCTCCATCTTCCCTCTCCTTCCTCTTCTTCCTCCTCTAGTTCCGCGAGTTGTTTTGTGCTGTTTATTGGGCATATTAACTGAGTCTCCTCAGTATCGTGCCCTGCAGTGACATGGTGGCAAAGCATTGACTTGGTGGCGTGTGGGTCAAAAAGATTCCTCCACTGGAGTACACCTCTCGAGCTGTACTCTCTTTACTCAGGTGACTTTCGGATTCTGCACCGTATAGAACTATCTGTCTTAGGAGCGCATTTTTAAGGTAATCCCAAGGGAGGTGTGGAACTTTCCCATAGATTCACAGCTCCTGAAGTTTTGTATATTATCCTTGGTGTCAGAGCCTGTCTAAACCACGAACTAATTTTAATAAAAAATACAGCTAATCACAAAGGGCTTACCACTCCTCAGTTGTGATGTTCAGCAGGTAAGCTGTATATTGACCTCACCTGAAACTGCTGACTGTCGTTCAGTAGCCACGCTTCGTCAGTCAACAAAGGCTGGTCTATAGTTGTTTACCTCTGCTCCGCTCGTTCTTATGGTGGCTGGGCGTATATCTCTCTTCTTCCACAGAAGAGGTCCTTTATCTTGTGTGAGGCAGACGAGGTGAAGTAAACGGCTGGGCTCGATGGCTCGCACACCCTCGTAACAGTTTTGGCTTCACCTTCTCGGGTCTGAAGTGTCTTAAGGAGATGCTACGTTACCCCCACCCCCCACCCCCACACCTTCTATATGTTCACACAGTTTGGTCTTAAAGGTTGTTTGCATGAATCTGGGACTTGTAGGACTTGTGTCTTGACCGTAAAGTGGACATCCAAGTAAACCAGACTTTTCCAGGTTGTAGAAACTAATGGTTCCATCCCGTAGGTTTAGGGGGTTGGGATTGTGTGTCGTCTGGGAAGTAGCTACCAGAGGAATCTATCGTCCGGGGGCCTCATTTTTTCCCCTTGTTTGTTTTTCACTGAGAGATGGTGGGCCAGCTCTGCACCGTCCCATTCACCAGTAGTCTTTTGCTTGTGGAGACTATGTGGATGGGTCCCTTTAGCATACATCCTGTTCCATATATTTTGTGTTTAGTGTCAGTTGTCTCTCGTCATTGATACACAAACCTCGGTTGATCTGGTGGTTTAGTCACATAGCTACTGCCGATGGGGAGTGTACAGTCACTCAAAAAATATCTTCATTTGGGGAGTTCGATGAATTTCAGAATGAACATTGCGACTTCATTCGTCTCGGTATAGGGTTGTCAAAATCCTTCGTCCATAGCGTCATATTTTCTCCACCCAATTTTGAAAAGATAATGTTTTGAGTGACTGTACAGTATATACATGAGGTGAAGATCCAGGGTGATAGTGTTAGTGAAGGTGATGATCGATGTGGGAGTAAAGCCGCTGTGATCTGTGAGAGAGAGGGGCGGGGGGGAGGGATGGCCATGCAGTCTCCTCTACCCAACAACTCTTGAGTCGTTTGAGTGGCTTTCCCTATCCATTATATTATCCCGCTTTGTGACCTGACGTGCACAAGAGGTCTACAGTTTAACTAAGATCTCAGCAAAGACATTCTCGGCTGGGTAAAGGAAAGAGAACGATATATGTATTGGAAAGTTTAATTATTTCCTGGGTGTAAACCTGAGATGAACTCCTTCTAGACTCTGTGTACGCGATGCTTGTGTGTGGTCAGAGTTGTGAAGGATTGATGTAACATATTCTTCTTCTTGATATTAAATGAGTCAATGTTTATCTGCTGTTGGCGTTTGTATAGGTCTTTTCATCTACTATAGAATTAATTAAAGTCTTAGGAATACACAGTTCATAGCTTCAATGTGATCAGGAACCACGACATCCTCTCTCTCTCTCCTCTCTCTCTCTCTCTCTCTCAGGTCCAGTTTGTAGAAAAACTTTACAACACTTCCTCTCGTAATTCGACCAACTTGAGCGCGTCACAGTGTTAATGAGAAATGCGATGAGTAGTTTCTGTGAGATTTCTGTAACGATGAGCATTAAAACTCGCGATAAAATGAATGTAACGTGTCTTTGAATACAGTGCTCGCTATGTGGTCCTAGTGTTGGCGGGTTCGATGGTGGGGCACCTGACTTTACAATTGAGGAAATGAAGGCAGTTGAGTACAGTGCCGGTCACGCTGCCTCCTTGTGTACCGAAGGCTTCGTATAATGTGTACTGTATCCACACTATCCGTAACGAGCCCTCGTCCATCATGCTTATCAGAACCAAATTAATTTTCACACACAAGTAAATAACCACAAGGAAAAATTAACTTTGGTACAATATTCTAATTCAGGCTTTGAGTTTTAACAGTACAGGGGAAGTGCAGGATGTTAACTAATGGAGTAAGAAGTATTAAAGATGAATATTGTAGAGGGCATGGAGGCTTTAGTAAGTGAAGCGACTAACCCATTATCTATTTATTTGCCCCTTTTAAATTTAGGCAGGTATTAATAGAGGGATTGGTAAGTATTTATTGTTGTTTCCATTTAGGCAGATGGTAAAGTGAAGAGCTGGATAGAATAATGTGGATGATGTCTTTGGGAATTTAATAAACACATTTGATAAGTTATTGGGAAAAACTTTATTTGTTAGAACTTTTGATTTTGTTACACACACACACACACACACACACACACGCGCACACGCACACGCGCGCGCAAACTCCTCTAAACCTAATTCTCACTCTACATTTCCATGTCGAATTGCGAGGCCGTATTGCCATGTCGAATTGCGAGACCGCATTCACATTCCTGATTCCTGGAATGAGCGCTCAAAGTGGGACAGGGGAGGACAGGAATTCTTGATTTAATTCAGGTTATACTAAGCATATCTCTCTCTCTCTCTCTCTCTCTCTCTCTCTCTCTCTCTCTCTCTCTCATAAAAGTAGCGTGAGCAACTTCTCTCATTCATAAACCCAACAATATTTCTCTACTGCCTCACAACTGAAATATTTACATTGTCAGTCATGTGGCAAAGGTTCTTGTTCTATACATGTAGTGACTCAGTACATACTAACCTAACCTAACCTAACTTAGAACACGTAATTTACACTATCGAAGCGGAGAGAACCAGGAGAAGTTAGACTTAATAAATGTTATCTCGTGAAATGAAATTCTTTAACTAAGCGGTAGATCAAGTTTGAGAATATCGTCTGCATAACATAACCTAAGTCCACCATTAACAGAACTTTATGATGAGACCTCGTATAAAAAAAATAAAACTCCTGCTTTTCAATGGCGCCCTCAAACTTCCCCCCCCCCCACCCAAGAAGGATTTAAGAATCCCTATTATTTTTCCCTGTGATTAGTGTATGTATTATCCGCAATATTAATTCCTACTAAAGCCTTGGTATAAAAATAAAATACATTAAGTCAACTCTATCTTCTAACAGATTAAAACAATTCTCACAATCGGTCAGTTGGATCTTTCATAGAAATAACAAGACCGGGAAATTAATCAAACATATAAACTGGATGGATATTGGGAACCCAAATTACCAGCTGGACTTAACATCAATTATATTACATCAAACAATAAAAATAAAAATATGAAACTGTTAATCATTTCTCCCTCACGAATGACCTTCCACTTTAGCAATAATGATTTACCACCAGCAATAATGATTCCCTTCAGTATTTAACAAGGAAATTTTCCCATCCCATCCCATCCCATCCCATCCCATCCCATCCCATCCCATCCCATCCCATCCCATCCCATCCCATCCCATCCCATTCCATCCCATCCCATCCCATCCCATCCCATCCCATTCTCCCCTGTATAATGTTGTATCTCCTCTACACCTTCACATACTGTCGTCCACAAATGTTCTTCTCGCCTCTCCTCTTAAAACACGAACCACGAGATTAGGTTGGGTATGGTTAAGTTAAGTTTGGTTAGATTAGGTTAGGTTAGGGTAAGTTAGGTTAGGTTAAGTAAGGTTAGGTAAAGGTTGGAAAGTGTTAGGATGATTAAGCTTCAGATGAAATAAGCTGGGGTGTGTTATGAGATGATCTGAATCTCCTGCTCCCTCGATATATTGTTCTCAGTGAGTGGGAGTCGCCTGGGGGGGAGGGGGGGGGGGTTGATGACTTATCCGGGTTGTGGTGAAACTTAGAGGGATATTAACAAGGTCTAAGGAGGTTGTTCTACGTAGTGTGAGGGAAGTTGATGGTGAGGAGGAGGACTCTGGTGACAGCACTCCTCCCGTCCACCCGTCCACACAGTACACGCCCTTAAAGTCAGGTGAGGATAGATTAGATTGGGTTAGGTTAGGTGTGGGTGCGCTAAGAGAAGTTAGACTAGATTGGGTTAGGTGTTGGAGGTTAGGAGGGTTAGCGAATCCTTACCCTTAACACTGTTGTCTAGAATCGACATTGGCAGGTAAAAAATAAGAGGTAATGGTGAAATAAAGACAAAAGAAAATAAACAATTTGTTTACCTGTCATATGGATCAGTGGGGTGAGACTTGCTTGGTCTCTTCAGCTGGGCGGGGTGAGACTTGCTTGGTCTCTTCAGCTGGGCGGGGTGAGACTTGCTTGGTCTCTTCAGCTGGGCGGGGTGAGACTTTGCTTGTTCTCTTCAGCTGGACGGGGTGAGACTTGCTTGGTCTCTTCAGCTGGGGGCGAGACTTGCTTGGTCTCTTCAGCTGGAGACTTGTTGGTCTCTTCAGCTGACGGGGAGACTTGCTTGTTCTCTTCAGCTGGGCGGGGTGAGCTGGACTTGCTTGGTCTCTTCAGCTGGGCGGGGTGAACTTGCTTGGTGCTTCTGAGACTTTGCTTCTCTTCAGCTGGACGGGTGAGACTTGCTTGTTCTCTTCAGCTGGATGGGGTGAGACTTGCTTGGTCTCTTCAGCTGGGCGGGGCGAGACTTGCTTGTTCTCTTCAGCTGGACGGGTGAGATTCTCTTCTCTGCTTGTTCTCTTCAGCTGGACGGGGGAGAGACTTGCTTGGTCTCTTCAGCTGGACGGGCGGGACTTGCTTGATCTCTCTTCAGCTGGGCGGGCGAGACTTGCTTGGTCTCTTCAGCTGGGCGGGCGAGACTTGCTTGGTCTCTTCAGCTGGACGGGCGAGACTTGCTTGGTCTCTTCAGCTGGGCGGGCGAGACTTGCTTGGTCTCTTCAGCTGGACGGGGCGAGACTTGCTTGGTCTCTTCAGCTGTCTTGGTCTCTCAGCTGGCAGGGGCTTGCTTGGTCTCTTCAGCTGGGCGGGGCGAGACTTGCTTGGTCTCTTCAGCTGGGCGGGGCGAGACTTGCTTGGTCTCTTCAGCTGGGCGGGGCGAGACTTGCTTGGTCTCTTCAGCTGGGCGGGGCGAGACTTGCTTGGTCTCTTCAGCTGGGCGGGGCGAGACTTGCTTGGTCTCTACGTGTGGGCGGGATTGGCCTTGTTTACTCTACATAGGTGGACATGGTTGTCTTGGCATATTATAGCCTGGTGGGCAAGGTGGTCTTGGCATATTATAGCCAGGTGGGCAAGGTGGTCTTGGCATATTATAGCCAGGTGGGCAAGGTGGTCTGGCATATTATAGCCAGGTGGGCAAGGTGGTCTTGGCATATTATAGCCAGGTGGGCAAGGTGGTCTTGGCATATTATAGCCAGGTGGGCAAGGTGGTCTTGGCATATTATAGCCAGGTGGGTAAGGTGGTCTTGGCATATTATAGCCAGGTGGGCAAGGTGGTCTTGGCATATTATAGCCAGGTGGGCAAGGGCGTGGTGGGTACTCAGTGTAGGGTCTCAACGAGAAAGGTATTTTACATTCCGAAAACTGCCATCTCTCGAAGTCACCGTTAGGGTAGTGACGCGTGACTGTCCCCTCCAACTTACCGTTGAAGATTTCCCAGTCCGCGCATTCTAATTTTTTAATGATTTTTCTGGGACACTCATGATGGACGGGTTATCCCTTACTGAGTTGCGCAAGACGGGCCATCCGTATAGAGTCCAAATCAAACTTGGAGAGGTAAGGAGCGGTACGTCTCTGGTCGCCCAATAGTTCCTTCCCTCTGTACGGCTTTACGTCCCTCCGTGTGATGGTAGGCAGTTCATAGTTGTGAAACATGAACGGGAAGTCAGCGAATACTTTGTTTTCCGTTGTCCCCTCTTCGTCACTCTGACTAAGTCCGACTTCTGGTCTCTTAATTTTCTCCTCCACACTAGAATCTTCACTCCAAGAACTACTCTCACTTTCAGACTCAGTGTCACTCTATTTGTTCTTTAAACTCTGGTTTATATCAACCTCCTTATCTCTTTTCTCCGCCTTTGAACATTCACTATCCTTGTTATCCCTTTTCTTCTTCTTATTTTTCTTCTCAATAGAATCATCACTATCAGAGTCGGTGTCACTCCATTTGTTCTTTAAACTCTGGTTTTTATCAACCTCCTTATCTCTTTTCTTCTTTTTCTCCGCCTTTGAACATTCACTATCCTTGTTATCCCTTTTCTTCTTATTTTTCTTCTTCTCAATAGAATCATCACTATCAGAGTCGGTGTCATTCCATTTTCTCTTTAAACTCTGGTTTTTATCAACCTCCTTATTTCTTTTCTTCTTTTTCTCCGCCTTTGAACATTCACTATCCTTGTTATCCCTTTTCTTCTTATTTTTCTTCTCCTCAATAGAATCATCACTATCAGAGTCGGTGTCACTCCATTTGTTCTTTAAACTCTGGTTTTTATCAACCTCCTTATCTCTTTTCTTCTTTTTCTCCGCCTTTGAACATTCACTATCCTTGTTATCCCTTTTCTTCTTATTTTTCTTCTTCTCAATAGAATCATCACTATCAGAGTCGGTGTCATTCCATTTTCTCTTTAAACTCTGGTTTTTATCAACCTCCTTATTTCTTTTCTTCTTTTTCTCCGCCTTTGAACATTCACTATCCTTGTTATCCCTTTTCTTCTTATTTTTCTTCTCCTCAATAGAATCATCACTATCAGAGTCGGTGTCACTCCATTTGTTCTTTAAACTCTGGTTTTTATCAACCTCCTTATCTCTTTTCTTCTTTTTCTCCGCCTTTGAACATTCACTATCCTTGTTATCCCTTTTCTTCTTCTTATTTTTCTTCTCAATAGAATCATCACTATCAGAGTCGGTGTCATTCCACTTTCTCTTTAAACTCTGGTTTTTATCAACCTCCTTATCTCTTTTCTTCTTCTTCTTCGCCTTTGAACATTCACTATCCTTGTTATCCCTTTTCTCCTTCTTGTTCTTGTTCTTCTTTTTCTTTTTCTTCACCTCAAAATTGTCTGACCACATTGAGTTATCATCGCTGTTCACATCCAAATTTTCTAAGCATATTGACTCATTGTTGTCAGATGCACTGTCGCTGGACAATAAACCAAATTTGCTGCTGGAAAACATCGTGAGTTTTTTTATCACAAACTACAGACAATTCACACTGCTTACAATGAGGAAATGTTAAACCACGTCTTATATTAGTCAGGTAGGAACTCGGTGACGGGGATTCTGAAGGTGAGGTGTAATGTAATGGTGGTCATGTAGTCTAGGTAATGTAGTCTAGTGGTGATAGTGTAGTGGTGGTAATGTAGTATAGTGGTGATAATGTAGTGTAGGTATTGTAGTCTAGTGGTGATAAGGTAGTGTAATGGTAGTAATGTAGTCTAGTGGTGATAGAGTAGTGTAGTGGTGGTAATGTAGTATAGTGGTGATAGAGTAGTGTAATGGTGGTAATGTAGTATAGTGGTGATAGTGTAGTGTAATGGTGGTAATGTAGTATAGTGGTGATAGTGTAGTGTAATGGTGGTAATGTAGTCTAGTGGTGATAGAATAGTGTAATGGTGGTAATGTAGTCTAGTGGTGATAGAGTAGTGTAGTGGTGGTAATGTAGTCTAGTGGTGATAGAGTAGTGTAATGGTGGTAATGTAGTCTAGTGGTGTAATTGTAGGTAATGTGGTAGTGGTGATAGTAGTGTGGTGTATTGTGTGATTGTGTAGTGTAATGGTGGTAATGTAGTATAGTGGTGATAGTGTAGTGTAGTGGTGGTAATGTAGTATAGTGGTGATAGAGTAGTGTAGTGGTGGTAATGTATAGTGGTGATAGTGTAGTGTAGTGGTGGTAATGTAGTCTAGTGGTGATAGAGTAGTGTAATGGTGGTAATGTAGTCTAGTGGTGATTGTGTAGTGTAGGTGATGTAGTCTAGTGGTGATAGTGTAATGGTAGTAATGTAGGTGATAGTGTAGTGTAGTGGTGATAATGTAGTATAGTGGATAGTAGGTAGTAGTAGTGATAGTGTAGTGTAGTGGTGTTAATGTAGTCTAGTGGTGATAGAGTAGTGTAATGGTAGTAATGTAGTCTAGTGGATAATGTAGTAGTAGTGTGATAGTGTAGTGGTAATGTAGTATAGTGGTGATAAGTGCATAGTGTAGTGGTGGTAAGTGGTAGTAGTAGTGGTGATAGTAGTATAGTGTGAGTAGTGTAGTGGTGGTAATGTATAGTGGTGATAGTGTAGTGGTGGTAATGTAGTATAGTGGTGATAGTGTAGTGTAGTGGTGGTAATGTAGTATAGTGGTGATAGTGTAGTGTAGTGGTGGTAATGTAGTATAGTGGTGATAATGTAGTGTATTGCAGTTTAGCATAGTGATAGTAGTGTAGTGATGGTAGTGTAGTGATGGTAGTGTAGTGGTGGTAGTGTAGTGGTGGTAGTGTAGTGGTGGTAGTGTAGTGTTGGTAATGTATGCTAATGGTGATAGTGTAGTAATGATAGTGTAGTGGTAGTAATGTATTCTAATGGTGATAGTGTAGTGTAGTGATGATGGTGTAGTGGTAGTAATGTATTCTAATGGTGATAGTGTAGTGTAGTGATGATATTGTAGTGTACTGGTGGCAATGTAATCTAGTGGTGATAGTGTAGTGTATGGTGGTAATGTATTCTAATGTGTTAAAAAAATTGTATTCTAATTAAAAAAAATTTATTCTAATGATGTTACTGTAGTGTAGTGTACTGGTGCAATATAATCTAGTGGTGATTGTGTAGTGTAGTGTAGCTGGGTGGTGTGACACTGGCTTGGCATTGGGTCTCGTATGTCACCTTATAGATTAAAACCTATCTCGATTAACTTCCCCAACTAAGAGAAAACTGGCAACAAACACCATTGCCTAATCCCGTGGTTCCTGAGACAGTGACGCAAGTGTTATCAGGAGCTTTAAGACGGAGCATAGACTGTCGTGTGACGTTGTTGTCTGAAGGTTATCTGGGAAAATACCCTGAAAAAAAAAGACATTGTTCTGGCAGCTGTGTTTTTGCCCTTACAGCCACCACCTCGGAGTGTTTCATAGTACCCCCAAAGTCGTATATTGAGATGACCTAAAACCATTTTAAGACGACATTGACCGGTATCATAGTGAGGGTTAGGTCATCTCCTGTGGTCCACCTTCATATTACCATCTGCTGTACCTAAACTAATGTATCTGTACCTTAATTAATGCCAATATTTCACCATGGGGGTCTAGTGATGACTCGTTCCTCATCTTTAACAACGTGTCATATTATTTGTGTTTTCCTTATACTGTACTCACGTTGACAATGGACGAGTTGACGGTTCTGGGTAAACACAAGAAATACACTCTGCCACGTGGGTAGCGTGATACGGTATATATAAGGTATGTATAATTTGTAATAAAAATTTAAAGTCCTGCTATAATAGTCTAGATAAGTTTATTTCTCTAGAAACAGGCCCGCCATTTGTAATGACGTCACTCGTTTCAAACTCATCGCTGCAGTCGGAGGTATTAGAAAGGATGGCTTCTTGAGACCCCAAATGCCACGTTCAGATAAGTTTTAAGGGTGTGTTTTTTGTGGTCTAAGTCACGGACATTCTGTAAGTGAAGAAATGTGCCGTGAAGAGCTGCTTCAAACATTGGTTGGATGGATATATGAGCGATAGGGGTTGGGTGTAAATGGGACTGCCCAGTATGGGCCAATAGACCCACTGCAGTTTCCTCCATTCTTATGTTCTTTTGAACATAAAAAACTCCAATGTTCACATCAGCTCAGCTGTCATGTATTCTTACCTGGTAGACTTTCTCCTTTTTTTTCAGTGCATTTACAGAGTATATCAGTACTAGATGGAGATACGAGTCAATTTAGAAGTGATGACATTGTCTGGACTTTACTTTGAGAATCCCTGATGCCAGGTAAACATGACAACATTGTGCTGTTATTGTTTTGATGATTAATTAATGAACCACTGGGATATATCGTCATTTATATTAATTAATGGGTAAAATTTTACTATAACTTCCATAAGTATTTTGATGTTTAGATTCGAGATAGGCTATATTGGTAAATTTTAAGTTTTGGTCATCCCTGTACTTGGACATGCAAACTGTATTTTGCTGGTGGTTTGCGATGTGTTATGAACGATTTAGACCTTCATTTCTATCGGAAATCACTAGTTTTGAGTTACTACCCCACCTTGCCGATGTATGTTAAGCTAACCTTATAACTCGTCATACCCTAACCTAACCTAACTTATCCTATCCTATCCTATCCTATCCTATCCTATGATCTGTATTTTCTTATGCGATCGAAAAAAAATTTGCGACAGAAATCCTGTAGAGATAATGTGTCTTTTTGTTGAAAGTAATTAATCCCATAGTTAGACTCTTTAGGTCCCCCAGATGACCAAAACCAAAATAATATCGATATTGTTTGGAATGTTTATACTATGAAATTTGTTGTATGGGCAGTTAATATCCATTGAATTAGTTAATGTGCTTAGTAATATTTATATATTCAAAATAGTAATACAGTACTGTGTTGCACAAAAAACACACAATTTATTATCTAATAATATTTATTTACTGAGCCGATCAGCCGAGAAGGTTGGACAACTACAGCTTACTGCTTCCCGCTGGGAAGCTCACCCCCAACCAGTGACGTCACAACGAATCAGAGGTTTTCGCAGTCACGTGACTTTTTAGCAACTTTAACCCTTATTTTTGACACTTTTTGGCCCAATTTATTTAAAAATATTATTACCGTAGTAAATTTAAGGGTTTTCTTTACCCATTGACCTGCCATCTTAAGAAAAAATTCCGACTGTCAACTCGTCCATTATAGGACTCGATAACCTTTGTTTTTACCCCTGAATTGTAAAATAAACAACACCTAACACCAAAATACTAACTGTAGCTGTGTTCCACCATAATACTGTAGCTGTGTTCCACCATAATACTGTAGCTGTGTTCCACCATAATACTGTAGTTGTGTTCCACCATAATACTGTAGCTGTGATCCACCATAATACTGTAGCTGTGATCCACCATAATACTGTAGTTGTGTTCCACCATAATACTGTAGTTGTGTTCACAAAATACTGTGCTGTGATCCACCATAATACTGTAGCTGTGATCCACCCATAATACTGTAGCTGTGACCATAATACTGTGTCACCATAATACTGTAGCTGTGTTCCACCAAATAATACTGTAGTTGTGTTCCACCATAATACTGTAGCTGTGATCCACCATAATACTGTAGCTGTGATCCACCATAATACTGTAGTTGTGTTCCACCATAATACTGTAGTTGTGTTCCACCAAAATACTGTAGCTGTGATCCACCATAATACTGTAGCTGTGATCCACCATAATACTGTAGCTGTGTTCCACCATAATACTGTAGCTGTGATCCACCATAATACTGTAGCTGTGATCCACCATAATACTGTAGTTGTGTTCCACCATAATACTGTAGCTGTGATCCACCATAATACTGTAGCTGTGTTCCACCATAATACTGTAGCTGTGATCCACCATAATACTGTAGTTGTGATCCACCATAATACTGTAGTTGTGTTCCACCATAATACTGTAGCTGTGATCCACCATAATACTGTAGTTGTGTTCCACCATAATACTGTAGTTGTGTTCCACCATAATACTGTAGCTGTGATCCACCATAATACTGTAGCTGTGATCCACCATAATACTGTAGTTGTGTTCCACCATAATACTGTAGCTGTGATCCACCATAATACTAACTGTGGCTGTGTTCCACCATAATACTGTAGCTGTGTTTCCACCATAATACTGTAGCTGTGTTACACCCATAATACTGTAGTTGTGTTCCACCATAATACTGTAGTTATGTTCCACCATAATACTGTAGTTGTGTCCACCATAATACTGTAGCTGTGATCCACCATAATACTGTAGTTGTGTTCCACCATAATACTGTAGCTGTGTTCCACCATAATACTGTAGCTGTGATCCACCATAATACTAACTGTAGCTGTGTTCCACCATAATACTGTAGCTGTGTTCCACCATAATACTGTAGCTGTGTTACACCATAATACTGTAGTTGTGTTCCACCATAATACTGTAGTTATGTTCCA